AACTTTACAAATTTTGTGTCCACTTTTGTAGGCTCAAAACAATATAGTGTCATATCTAGATAAAATAGCCTGAGCTATATTGAAATAATTTAAAGAATTACAAATATCAGACATAATAAAATCACATTAAATAAATAAACCAATATAAAACTAACAAAAGCTATAGCTAGAACAATTAGGTACTATATGAACCCGCTTTAAAGCCATATAACTTTCATTTTTCAAAAGCTTCTCTGGAAAAAAAAGATTTTAGATATTTTCTAAAAGCAATAAACACCGTTTGAAATATTATTTATAAAGTATTTGGATACGATGATATTAATCAAATCATGCAAACAGAGCATTATTGGGGTGAGTAAAGCAGAAACTAGGCTGCCTTTTTTTTGGAGCTGCGCAACACTCTTTTGACGCATCGGAGAAAACTGCAAGTTCAAAATATGTTCTGTGTCCTCAAACAAGTGTGTGTGTGTTCATATGACGTGGTGAAATTAAAAAAAGAAAATTTTAAATACATAAAGAGCTTTATTAGTGCATAGCTGCTGCGCGCAACGCAATAGGCTGTATTTTATTACGTGCTGCTCTTACGTGCTAAACACTGAACACTTTCCTTTACTTCAGATATAATAAGCAACATCTTTAAATAAAGGGAATTACCTGTTAAGTGTCATAAAGCCTATAGGGGAAAAAATCTTGTTTCAGTTCTCTCCGGAGCATTTGGGATGCATGTTGGACAGCGTCTGTCTGACTGAGGATGTTATAAACTACATTTTATATCGAGTTATTAATGGAGAATTGGATATATGTGGTGTTATATTATGGATGTGTGCGCTCCCTGCACTGGGTCCCTCCGTTAGTGGCGAGACCACTGGATTTCGATGCCAACAGTCGGTCGGCGAGTAAATGAATATGATGAATGGGAACACACAGGTCTGTGCGTATAGACATGTCATGTACTGCTGTACATTAACGGCTCATTTGTTTGTTTTGGTTGTCCTAATATTAATAGTTTGGTGATGATGTGATGGTGTGCTTTATCTGCATGATTCCCGCTGAAGTGGGCGGATTGAGTGACGTTCGATTCGAGGGATGTTCTGGGGACGGGGTTTACGTGACGCGCTGCGAGCTACTAGCCCGACAGTAGAAACTCGACATGATTTAAGCCTCACTGCTCAATCTCCTGGGCAATTGGCCCGATAAAAGCCCTGGCTCACACTGACCCGATAGTGGAAATGCGGCTACTGAGAGCCTACAGTAGAGGAAATAAAGGCCATCAGGAACACAATCTACAGCGAAGCTGGAGAAATACAGATACACTGAACTGGACAGCAGCTGGTGTACTGCTGTGAAATGACCTAAATCAAGGGAAATTACTCTAAATCAAGTCATTTCAGCACACCAAAGGGAAATGGAAGCTTTAGTAAATGTATTATTCTCACAACAAACCTGGCTAGTGGAGTGCAGAATGGCCAGTCACTCTGAGAAACTTCTGGCCACAGAGGACGCTGATCAGCACACGCTACTGTGGAGCTGTGATCACGCAGTGTCATGTCTGAGAGGACAGTCGGGGGTTCAGGTTGAGCTGTGCTCAATGTTAATGTGCACTAGAGTTGCTGATCACTGACGATCGGTGTGTTACTGCTGTGTGTGTTTCAGGCCTGTGAGCTGATCACATCTCTGGAGGATCACAGCAGGTTCCTGATTGAAGAGAAGAGAGCGCTGATGCGTCAGCATTCACACTACCAGACGCTCATCTGCATCTCACAGGCCTCAGGTACACACACACACACACACACACACACACACACACACACACACACACACACACACAGAGCATTAACATTACCAAACACTCATGTTCAAGCTCATGGCCTGTTTCCACTGAGTGGTACGGTTCGGTACGCTTGTATGGCTGTTTCCACTGTCTTAAAGTGAACCATGCCGTACCACATTTTGAGTTCCCTTTCTAAAGGGCACCAGCACAACAGAAGAGTACCAGAAGGAGGAGCTAGACGCGCAGATGAACGTCATTGGTTTACAGAGAAGCATCACTCGCTCATGCACAAGCAGAAGCGTGAACACAAAGAAACCGTCACACAGTCGAGACATTACAGCAAAATAATAATATATACAGATAATATCCAGAGATGTGAAGCAGGGATTCCTGTATTTCCCGAGCTCAATGTAAATCTGAAGTTTGTTTGTTTGAGGTGGGGGTGGGGGTGTCTCAGTGAGGTTTGACGTTATCACAGCAGAAGACCTGATGGATGGATTTCGCCTCCATCATTGTGCTCAAGGAGGAGCAGTAACCGCTGCATTCTGGACGTCACTGAGGTTTAATGATATTGTGCAGTCCTATAATGTGAGGAAGCCGCTGATGATTTGTAAGATTATGCAATCGCTGTGAATGCTGCTCGGCTGTGCTTTTTTTCACGCTCACATTTCCACATCACGACCACGTGCACTCTATATACATTATAACTAGAGTCAGGACGCACTATTGGTATTATCCTCTGCAAGTCATCTGTCCTGATGCCTTAGCTCAGTGCCTGAAATTGTCATGAAATTTAAATATGTTGTATAATTAATTAAACCTAAACAGGAACTACACTGAAGTAAAGGCAAAGTGGAAGTAATAAACTCATATGCATGATTATTTTCTCAGGGTGGAATGTTGAAGCATATTACTGTGCTCAAGTCAACTATACTTCATATTTTGACAGTTTAAACTGTTGCCTGACTTGTAGTTTATTTATGGAGTGCAATAAAGAGTCACTAAATCAATTTATACACTTTATACTAATAACTTTAAACTCCAATTATAATCTGTGGACTCAAGAGAGTGAGCCGAGTTAATGGCGCCATCTAGCGGCGGTGTGTGGATCTGTCCTGACATTACAGTGCAATTATAAACCTATTAAACACCATTTAGGTGACTATTGAACTGATAAACATTTAAGCTGACAGCAAAAAAAAAAAATATATATATATATATATAATAATAATAAATTTTAAATTAAATTAAATTGTGGCCAAAATCAAATCTTTCTATAAAGAATAATTATGTTTTTTAGAATTATTATTTCTATTATTGTTTAAGCGCACACACACACAGACATATATGTATTTATCCCGTCTCGTCTTCCTTTTTTTTGTCCTCTGCTGATCACATGCCTAAATAATGAGCCATGGATGACCTGAGCTCAAACACTCCTAGTCAGCATCTTGATGAACAGCCACAAAGCCAAGAAGACGAAGGAGTGGACTCTGCCCTGTGTCCTGTTGTTTACGGGGCCGTTTAAAGTGCGAGCGGTTTCACTTTCTCCAGAGAGCCACAATTACATCTATATTACAAATAACAAACTTCTTAAGCTCATATTAATAGTGTGCACGTGATCATCATCCATTCAGAAACGGACTAACGCCGGAAAAAACAAAGGAGCAAATGATTCTTTCAGCACCTAAAAGATGAACAGACTCAATAACTCAATCATTCTGACTAAAGTCTGTCTTTAAACACTGTAAGAGGACTGCTGACCAAGCTCACTGACTGTACCATCTGAATAAACATACACACAGAGCACTGATCACACACTGACCACATCTGTAGAGACAGGACAATCCACACCAGCTGGAGCTGCGTCTTTATTAAGAGGAGACGAGCAGCAAATCCAGATTTCACCATTTCCAGATGAGAAAAGCTCTCGGGTAAACAATGTTCCTTACAGCCGTATTCCTGTCGCATGTTAGCAGATCACTGTAATCCACACGTGAGTCCAGCTGCGCTCTCATAGCGGGAGTATGGAAACAAAACCTTCACTGCAGCACATTATAAACACAACACTGACGACCCGTATCTCCAGACAATTCTTCTTCTTCCACTTGTTGTGATTACGGTTGGCAACATGGCGTGGCGTCTCTCTGAACACTGTAACAGGTGAAAACAGTCTTCACCAGCTCTATCATGCATATTAAGGAAGCTGCACCTCATTCACAATAGAGCGCGCTGATTGGTTCAGACCAAGTCTTTCTCATGAATTAACGCTGAAAGCTCAAAGACGTCTCGTGTGTGTGTGTGTGTGTGTGTGTGTGTGTGTGTGTGTGTGTGTGTAGTCACGGTACTACATGACATTGAAGAGAGTTATTAGAGGAATCATTTAATACAGTGTTACTGCTGTGGTTATTAATAATAGTATATAGTGTGCACTATATAGGGCATGTGTGTGTGCAGTTGAACACACTCCTGCAGTGCATCACTCACACACATAAACTAGTGTGTGTGTGTATCTGTGTGTGTTTCAGTGGCAGCAGAACAGAAGACAGGAGAGCATCCAGAGGACACACCGCAGACACACACTCCATCAGGTGAGACCCGCAGCACCAGTGTGTGTGTGTGTGTGTGTGTGTGTGTGTGTGTGTGTGTGTGTGTGTGTGTGTGTGTGTGAGAGAGAGACTGAGTGATATCTATATACAGGGTTCATATGGTCATGGAAACCTGGTCAAGTTATGGAGTTTTGGCATGGCATTCTCCTGGCCTGGAAAAGATTTGGAAAAACGGAAAAACCCACACAGTTTTGGAAAAGTGATAGAAATTAGCTTAAAGAGCCCTTACTATACATTATAAAGGGTCATATTTGGGTTTTAGGGGTCTCCAGTAACAGGCTGATCTGCATCAGATCTAAAACACTGTCATTGTCTTATAATCTGCATTATTTTCACCTGATTATCCCAGCGACTCCCATATGATTCGTTTGATCCCAAACCCCTCGTTAGCCAGATGCTAATCTCCGCTGATTGGACCGATGACAGTCTGTTGTGATTGGTGCTGAGAGTGTGTGTGAGCATACCTGCTAACACTCCTGTTAATCCTGAGAGTCTCCCGTAATTCAGACCCATCTCCAGCCACCCACCCATGCCCCCAACCCTCCCCGCCAACCCCCAGGTCCTCAGCATTTTTGTATGGTATGTGAAACTCCCCGGTTGCCAACATTGGTATATCGCAGTGGCGGCCTGAAACACCCTTCATAGTAGTCACTAACACCACAGTAAACAGTACCCGGTTCTCAACAGTGCTGTTCAGACACCTCACCCCTGAACCTAATCCCCCCAGTCTCTCAGATTTTCAGGGACCGATGATGGCAGGTATTTGTGTGAGCCCAATGCATGAGTGCAGTTAAACACCAGCATATAGCTCCACTCTTAACCATGACCCAAGCTGAACTATTCTGAGGCTTGACCACTGCACGTGTGTATGAACAGCTGACGGTGACCACAGCAATGACAATCAGCAGTGGAGCGCAGGCTCACAAACACATTTAAAGCGGCACGCGTCGAGTATTCAATGTGGCTTTAGATGCAATATGGGAATAAAAAGAATTAACCTGATACAGTACAAGCGCTTACAAGTAACACAACACAATTAAATACAGAATTTACAAGCAGGAGAAAACAAAGAGGCAGCCAGTTACTGACACTTGTGCAATGGAGGAACTGATCCATGATCCACTGATCCATGTACTGACAAAGTTCCTGTCTAGCGCTGACAGTCCCACACATCAAGAGTCTTCCTTTCTGCAGAAATAATCTTCAACCACTGACTCTTCACAGCCTCATCTGTGGGTAGAGGAAATAACACTGACTCTCCCTCACACTTCTGAAAATATCCAGCGGAGCAACCGGCGTCTGCTGCAGTGATTGTGGGCGGGACCGGGGGTTTAAAATTTCCCTGGTTTGCATGCGCAACAATTGGGCGGGGCTTACGTTTTGTATCGACGTCACGCCAGCACGGCTAAAGACTCGCTATCAAGACGATTCATTTGAAGCACTGTGAGTCGACTCTTTTATAGATGAATCAATAGTTTTGAACACGCTGCACTTTCAGATTTAAGCCTGAGCTGCATACTTCACTTCACTCAGAGCTGTTACACACTGATGAAGAGCGTTCTCTATAACCCATAATACAGGCTCTTTAACAAATGTCTGTCAACGTGAATATAGGTTAGCTGTCTTTACTTTCTGTCTTTAGCCAAAAACATGGTCTCACATTATAAATGCTGTGTAAGCATTCAATCATTCATTCATTCATTTTCCATCAACTTAGTCTCAAGTTCTGAGAACTGCCATGTGTTAGCATTATCTGAATAAATCTTACATGCAATAAATTAGTCATGAGATGATAACCGTGTTCAAGGCATACCACAGTTTGGAAAAGTCAAGGTATTAAAACCTGCTAAAAAGGTATGTGTAAGATTTTTTATTATTTTTTTTGTTATTTTTAAGACAGCAGTGTCTCCAGCAGAAAAATATCCAAAGATGCTGTTTTAAACTGTAATGAAATCAGTGTTTAAGGCCGTACTCACACTAGGTACAGTTGCCTCGAACCGGGCCAAAGCACGCTTGTCCCCCCTCCCGTCTCCCCTGATGGCCCACGCTCACACCACAATCGGGCCTGGGCATGCTTACGCAGGGTCCCCGCAGGGTCTTAAAAAGTATTAAAAAGTCTTAAATTAAAAAATCGAAATTTATGGCTTTAAAAAGTCTTAAATTGGCTGTTCTGGGTCTTAAATATTTTTTGCACAGGTCTTATTTTTGCGATGTCCATGTAACGCTTCATCTAATGCTCATTTAAACTCTTGTTGTTGTTGTTGCTTGGTTTTTGGGGTGTTGTAGTTCTTTATTTCACTTGTCCAATTGTAATTTGCGGTATTACAGCTACAAAAAAGTCAACTTGCAATAGCCAATCAGCTTTCTGATATTAAAATCAGTGCGCGCGGCGAACGTGACATCATCGCTGTGTTTGCGGAAGTTCGCTTTGAGTGCGCACGACATGATTTCGGCTGGCAGAGTATGCCGTTATTTCACTGACAAATGTCGTAAGCGCAGTTTTATAAGTCAGGAGAGCTGCAATACGAGAGAGCGAATCTCTGCTCACGCGCCAGTTTCCTTTGTTCATGGACAAAACTTCTTTTGAGCTCTCAAAACACTGGCTGCTCTGCTCTCCGTCATTTAAAAAAAAAATCTTAATGGTGAACGTGTCAAGTATAAAAGCCTTAACCCGTTTCGTGAGTTGTGCGATGCCAGGTGAAAGTATAAATCTGCATTAAGATGTTTGTTTTTTCTGTAGTTCAGTGGTGCATTTAACCTGACTTTACTACTGTTCAATTTAAATAACTTTATTTTACCCCATATTTTGTGCTTTTACATCTTCTCTCACGTTTTTGATATTGCGATATAGGTCTTAAATTTAATACTTAATGGTCCTAAAAAGGTCTTAAAAGGTCTTAAATTTGACATTATGATATCTGCAGAGACCCTGTTGCGTCATCGCTGCTGCGCTGTTCAGTGAGAAGCGCTCTCTCACTCAGCAGCACAGTGGAGATTTCTCTAGTTATATGGTTTCAGTCGTTTGTTAACGCGGTGACATGCGGTCAAATATTTCACCCGACAGATCCGCCACTTTTGGCGCTCATAAACAATCATTAAGCTCTCGTGCTGCAGGAATGAGGAGGTCTGCTGAAGGTGCAGCTGTCGTGCTGTGAGGGGTTTGCGTCTTTAATAAACTACAGCAGTTTGCGTTCACTGAACAGTAAGAATGATTAATAAATCCAGATGAAACAGCCCCTTAAAGTCACGTCTCGCTTTCAGTTTCGGGCTTTGGCGCGTTTTGCACTCACACACAAGCGTACCGCGCCAAAGCCCAAGTGATCTGCGCTCAGACACACCTCTTCCAACCAGGCCAGAGCCGGCCAGCTTGAGCCCGGTTCAGCGCACTCACACTTCTCAAACGATCCGGGAAACGGGCCTGGGCACGGTACGGATGGCATAGTGTGAGTAGACTCTTAGACACTAATGAAGACAGCAGAAGTCAATAATTCATTTGAGTTATTCAGCCTGACATGTTCACTACTCCAAACTATCTTAAACCTTTAAATCATTTAATATATTGTGTTTAATGAGGATAAAAGGTTTAGTTTTTTACCCAGACATTTAAAAAGAGTGTAAATATTATAAGAGTAGTAAGCACAATACTGTGACACTGTGATATTTTTATTTAAGGTTATCATACTGTCATGATCTTATACCGGCACATGCCTACTGTAGATATGAAAAATGTATTCAAACTAAATAGACTGTGGTGTGTTATGATATGCTATAATGCATTTAAACGTGCATTGTTTTATTATTATTATTTACCATGTATACATGGACATCACATTAAACATTAGGGCATGAAGTCTGTGCAAGAGCCTAGTGGTTAGCACGCCAACATACGGTGCAGTAGCATGTCAGGGCGTCCTGAGTTTGAGTCCCTGCTGGAGGACATTTCCCCACCCCCCCCTCTCCCTCTGTCCCACTCTGCTTCCTGTCTCAATACTGTCCTAATCAAAGCAAAAACACCCAAAAACATTTGGTCATGAAAATGCACATGAATGTCCTGGACAAGTCATCAGTGTAGCAGTAAGACGTGTTTGAACCCTGTATATATGACTATATTGATACTTAACAGCATTACACTAACTGTGTGTGTGTGTGTGTGTGTGTGTGTGTGTGTGTGTGTGTGTGTGTGTCCTTCAGCAGTGAACAGAACCTCTCGTCTGCCCAGTGTCATCCTGCGCTCCTTC